CACTGCCCAGTCAGCTCAGAGTCAGCAGGAGGAGGCGGAGACACATTCATCTGAATTTTCCTTTGCTGATTTTCTGGACATTCTGTTACAGTTTGAGCAACGTTTAGATGGAAACTTGACAGATGTCATCGCTGTGACCCAGTGGTGTCACGTCCTCATGTTCTCTGTTGTCTGTAGGCTGCAGGCAGACGCAGACTTCTTGTCCACTGTCTCACTTGATGATTTCAGTGTCATCTGCACTCTGGGGACAGGAGGCTTCAGCCGCGTGGAGCTGGTGAGTAGCTGAGGATGTGTGTATGCTCCTATTGTTGTCTGTCTGTACTGAGTGTGTGTGTTTGTGTGATCAGGTGCAACTGAAGGATGACCCTGATCGATCGTTTGCCCTGAAAGTGTTAAAGAAACGTCACATTGTGGACACCAGCCAGCAGGGCCACGTCCTGTCAGAGCGCCGCATCATGATGCAGGCTCACAGTCCTTTCATCATCAGGTTGTGTTTAAATCTCAGTGTCAGTTACACAAACTTCTTTCATTTCTTTGTTTCACAGGAAACAGTCCGACTGTTCCTTTAAGTCATGCTAGTGATGCTGCTTTCCTGCAGGTTGTATCGGACTTTCAGGGACTCCAAGTACCTCTACATGCTTCTGGAGGCTTGTCTTGGAGGAGAACTGTGGACACAGCTGAGAGACAGGTGCATGGCTGTTACTGCTCCCCCACTGACCCCGATCATTTCCCCAGGCATCAGGGATCAATTATTCAGTTGACAGAAAGTGAATTGGTAATAATTGTAATGATTGTTCCTTTGTTTAGGTGACTTTTAAGCAAAAATCCCCAAATTCATTTGTGTCATTTTCTCAAATCTGAATATTTGCAATTTTTTCTGTGATGGTAAACTTGGCATCTTTGCGTTTTGACATTTTGTCAAGCTGTTTGAACGTGCGTACTTGGGTCTTAGGGCAGGAGGAAGGACCGTTTTCACATTTCATACACTAAACAATCTACTGGTTAACAAGACAATAAATGTCAGACACATTTTGGTTTCAGTTGTTGGTTTCAGCATTAATTACTTGACACAGAAGAAATGGAAACACTTTGACCAAACACAACAACACAACAAATGAGCTCCATATACAGTAAAACAAAGAATCTCTTGAACTGGATTTTGACCCTGTACAGGACCAGGGCCATGAGACAGGATGGAGAACCTGCCCTCTTGGACCTCAGTGGGGCCCCTGGATGTCTGTGCTGGTGATCCAGCCTTTGACAGGTGTTTGTTTGCATGTTCATCTATGAAAGACCGTGAAATCATCAGCCCTTGTTTCTGTCGCAGGGGTTCGTTTGATGATGGCACCACTCGCTTTTACACGGGCTGTGTCATGGAGGCGCTGGTTTACCTGCACTCCAGAGGAATCATCTACAGAGATCTGAAACCTGAGAACATCATACTGGACCACCGAGGCTACGCCAAGCTGGTGTGCACGTGGATTCTACATCTACCAGACAGTTCAGAAAGCACTCCGTTTACAGCAGGTGTTTGTTTCTCTCCCACAGGTGGACTTTGGCTTCGCTAAGAAGGTGGGTCTGGGTAAGAAGACGTGGACATTTTGTGGGACTCCTGAGTACGTTGCCCCTGAGATCATCTTGAATAAAGGCCACGACAGCTCGGCTGACTGCTGGTCACTGGGAGTGCTGGTCTTTGAGCTGCTCAGTGGGAGGTACAGCGGCTACGCCTTTCACTTCAGGATCATGTCAGGATGTTTTGGTGTGATGCAGCTTCTGGATGCTCCCAGACCTAAGATGAGAAAGAGGATTTGCTGTTTTTGGTTTGAACCTCTCTTGTGCCTGATGTTAGGACCTACTGTACATTTGCTGAGTAAATAAAACGTTGTTTCCACTCTTTGTCCACAGGCCTCCATTTTCAGGCTCCGATCCCATGAAGACCTATAACATCATCCTGAGAGGCATCAACATGATCGAGTTTCCCAAGAAGATCACCAAGAGCGCTGCCAACCTCATCAAGCGACTCTGCAGGTTGTCACAGCTTCCTAAGGCTGGGTCCACGTCCCAGGTCTCAACGCTCAGATCTGACCTTGTCGTGTTGCTGCTTCCTGTCCGTGTATGTCAGGGCCATGTGCCCGGCTCCGGTGTGAACACCGCTGAGCTCCCAAACTGCCACACATGCACTGATGTAACTGAAATGTGAGCCACGTGTGCACAACAATAACAACCAGGTCGTGTGTGTGACAGTCAAACGGCCCAGTTTCCTCCCAAACCACTGGGAGAACAGAACCCAGTAAAATGATATTACCTGTGGTGAATAGAGAGACTTGGATTATAAATCTCTTTGTTACATGCTGGGACGTGGACGCAGCCTGACAGTCCAGATAAAGTAAAGCAGTGCTGTTTTTTCTGCTAAGCATCTTTACACTCTGGATGTGTGGGTGTTTCAGGGACAGTCCTTCAGAGAGGCTGGGAAATCAGAAAAACGGAGTGAAGGACATCCAGAAACACAAGTGAGATAGTAAAGCTGCTTGTCATGAGATTTTACTTACACTGAGTGAAAAGACTGTGGTCATGGCAACTCATCCTTGTCCTTCAGGTGGTTTGAGGGTTTCAACTGGGACGGCCTCCGCCAGGGAACCGTGGTCGCTCCGTTCACACCGACAGTGAGTTTCCTTCAGTGTCTCTGTGGCGCACAACAAAGAGGACAGCATCATTAACATTCTGTCTTTCTGTCAGGTGGGCGGGCCGCTGGACAGCAGCAATGTTGACTATTTCCCTGAGGACACTGAAGACCTTCCTCCTGATGAAGAGTCCGGTTGGGATCTGGAGTTTTAACAGGGTGTGACAACAGCTGATGAAGAAACCTGGGAACAGGATTCAGCCACATGAGACAGAGCTGCAGCTTTTATGAACATGTGCACTGAAAGTCAGGAGGCAAGAGAAACAGAGAGATTCATATTAATAAGGTCTGATCACCACAGATCCCAAAGAAACGCAGCAGGAGCAGGGCCACTGTTACAAAGCTCAGCATCTGGGAATAAAGTGGAAAAACGTCACATTGTTGTGAGAAAAACATAATATTTCAAGATTAAGGTGACGTTTTATGAAACAAATGGTTGTAACTAGAAAAAGTTGTTCTATTTTGAGGAAAACAATCAAATAAAACAGGTTTTAAATTTATGATATTTAAGAAAAACTCATAACATCACAAACAAATCTGTCCAGTTCAGATCATAGTGTCTGTAAAAAGAAATATCTCATCAATAATGTCATGACATTCACCACTGGGAAAATATTTATATTTCAAGAATAAAGGTACTATTGTACAAAAAGTGTTGTAAACTGTAAATTAATAGGTAGATAATAAAGTTAGAAAAGAAAATGTATTGAGCTTAAAACCCTGCAATGCTCTTCACTTGTAATAATTGTAACCCTTTAGCCACCCGGCTCGTTATAGCAAGAGAAACAGCCACTCAGTGCATACCCCTCCAAACTCAAGAAAAACAGATTGGCAAAGGAGACATTCCAATGGAAGAAACTATGTCTAGGGTTCAGTATGATCCTCACCTTTTAAACATCAATTAGAGAGGTCCCAGAAATGATATTAATTTAAATAACTCATTTGCAACATATAGACAGGCTGATGACCACCAGTCCTATAGCTGTGCCAAATCCATACACGGCCCTGTCGACCCTCACACCAGAACATAGGTATTTTACCTGCATTGATTTGGCAAATGCATTTTTCTGCCTCCCTCTGGTGGAGGACTTGAGGCCCATTTTTTCATTCACATACAGAGACAAGCTATTGCAATACACACGCCTCCCACAAGGGTTCATATTGTCGCCAGGGCTGTTCAATCAGGCCCTGCGCACCATAGTTCAAGATGTTGAGCTGCCACAGGGAACTGTATTAGTTCAGTATGTAGATGACATTCTCATAGCCTCACCAGACACACACACCCGTCTGCATGCCACTCACCTTGTCCTACGAGCATTGCTCTCTGATCAGCTGCAGCCTGCATTTTTACTTTTCTCTTCCTTTTCACTAACCAGCCCATGTCTCGCTGTGCCTCCATTTTTTCATACCTCTCTTCCTCTTCTTTTTCTAGGTTGCTCAGCATCTGCACCAACTTCCCCTTTTTCCCGTCTCCTGGGACCTTGCCGTCTTTTCTGCAATTTTCTAAAAAAATGTTTCATATTCTTCTATTCTTTTCTGTTTTTCTGATCCCTTCATCCCACTTTCAAGTTGCTTTTTAATTTTAATCCACCGTCCTCCGATATTTTCTTCTTCTCATGGTTCATTTTCTCTAAGTTGTCTATCGAACTATCCTTCCATTCCAACAAACTATATTGTCAAAACTGTGGTTTGTTTTTTACCTTTTATTAATATACACCCCTTGACTCAGTGTGTGAATGACTCCGTCGGTCAATTTGGCAGATCTACGAGACAAGCTTCTAGGCCAAGTAACTTGGTCCGTTCTCCATAACGGGGGTTAATTCCCAGTCTCGCCAAATCTTTTAATTCACGCACTAAAATCACGCTTCACCAACTCAGTGCACAGAACAGGAGAGGACAGGATCGTGTGCCCTTTTAAATTATCTCCCTCCTGGAAACCTCCCACAATTCCCAATGTACAACAAAAAATACAAATTCACAAGAAGCAATGTTTGACTGTGGCCAGTCTCAGTGAGACCCATGTGAAGTTTCAAAGTCGAGGTTTCTGTTAACACTGTCAGGTTTCCACCTCGACTGTTTGTTCCTCACAACACCACACCCAATCCTAACGTTTTCACACACACTTTATTGGGACAGATAAACATTCAAAATATGTACTTAAATATGTATATATATCTCTTTCTCGATTTAAGTGGACTTTAACCTCAAGGGCCTCAAACCCTGACGTCAAAATTGTATAATTACTTTTCCTGAATATTAACGGCGTCCATTGAATACTGGAGGGCATTCTATTAAGAGGTG